ACTCTTCCATTGGTTAAGCACAATAAAAGCCTTAAAAGAAGAACTCTAGTATAAATAATAAATCTGATTCTGCCAACAAAAAAATCTTTTATTCACGACTCTTTCTCTCTCTCTCGATTACTTTATATATGTTGTTGGTACCCTTCAATTGGTTAAGCCCAATAAAAGCCTTAAAAGAAGAACTCTAGTATAAATATTAAATCTAATTCTGCCAACAAAAAAATCTTCTATTCACGACTCTTTCTCTCTCTCGATTACTTTATATATGTTGTTGGTCAAACTCTTTCTTCAATTAATTTTTTTTTTTAACAATTTAAAACATTGAAAATATTTTTGGGTTTTTATTTAGTTTTGAAAAATTAAAATCTTTAAATAAAGATTATTTGCAAAAACATTCTAATAAACTTGGGGGATGCCTTTTTCCCTGATCACTACTCATCTTATTGATTTATCGGGTGTGTTATTTACCTTTCACACTTCAGCTTACTGCCCGCCCTCACCTGCAGAAGGGAAGCTAAAAGAAAAGAAACCGGAGCTACATTTCTTAGTATTCTACTATCCTGCGTGAAAGCGCTTTGCTATAGGCCTTCCTCGGCTTATCTAGAAAAGAATATAGATTCTTACCACCCTAAATGCTTCTACCTCTTTTCTAAGCACATGAATGCTTGATCGAGAAAAGCAAGCAAAGAAGCAACAAGATACGAAATATGAAAGGGCTGGGGGTAGAGCTAATGACCAATTGAAGAGTTAGAGACTACAATATAAAACCCTAAATCATACTCTTACCGGTAGAATAGATTATATATACCTTCGCCGATTAAGGAGAATATTGATTGATTACTTAGATTTAATTTCAGAATTAAAAGTTTTAAAAATTGAAACCAATAATCAAATTGAAACTAAACTACATAAAAAAATTAGATTCTTTTCCGAATGTATGCATTGCTCATAAAATTTTGTTAACAATACCAATAACAATCAGTCAGTTGATTTAGCAAAAAGTAGCTTTTCAAATTTTAAATTGAAAAAATCTTATTACGGTCAACAATGTTCCAAGAAAGATTGAATTGATTAACTATATTATTTATTGAAAAATATTTATGGACAAAACTTGAATATAAGAACTTGATCAATATTTTTTCTTCTTAAAAAATAAAAAATTAAATCAAGAAAATTAAAAATAATATACATATTAATACACAAAATATTAACAGAGCCATGTGTAAAATTTTTGCCTAAGACCTCGTTTACGTTGGGCCGTCCCTTCTCCCACCTCAGTTATCCTGCCTCCAAATTTTGCTTCTGCCACCACTATCTATTTTTCCTAGTGGTGCCTCGTACATTATCTTATTTGGGTAAGGGTGTTGGGGCTGGGGGGGAGGAGTGTGGGTGCAGTATATTTGGTGTGTTCTTCTTTCTTTGGGGGTTCGTGTTTTGTTTTGTGCTTGTTCGTGTGTGTGAGAGAGAGAGGGAGAAAAGGTGCATGTGGGCAGTAAGTAATGCTATGTGGAGATATACAAATTTAGTTCACATAACATTATTTGCGGGAAGGATAAAATCTCTAGATCCACCCCCACACTGAGGATGTGTGGGGTGGGTCTAGAGAGGGAAAATATAGTCCGGTGAGAGAGAGGAAAAGTGGGAAAATAAAACATAAGGAAATTTGAATTTTTATACCCCGTATATTTTTCCCACCAAACTTATCGCTTCTCACACACTCTGTCAGACAGATAGGCAGCGAGTAATTTCCCCAAATCCATGCCGGGCAGGCGGCGAGTCACTTCTCCAAATCCATGCCGAAGAACAGGCTACAAGACAGACGCAACCACTTCAAACCTCTTCGGTTTTTTGCAACAGCCACAACAACTTCAAACGTCTGTTGCCATAGCCACAGCCACCGAGTTCTCCGCAGCCACAACCACCGCTACAGCTACAGCCACCGCTACTGCCATTGCCAGGTAATCCCCCTATGCGCAAACACCCTCCCCTCATCCCTTTTTTGCACAAACACCTCCCCCCCTCATCCCTCTTCTGCGCAAACACTGTCCCCTCCCCTCCCTCTTTCTGTTTCTCCCTCCTCTCAATCACCACCTCCTCTTTCTCTCTCTCTTGCGCACTAGACATCAGCGCCACCAAATCTGGGGACACCACCACTAGCCCAGCCCAGCCCCAACACAACACCCGTACACATCACCCACCCACGTTCCTCACATCCCTAACCCACACACACTGCTCACCCACCCTCACACGCACACTGCACATGAAGTGTTAGTCAAAATGTCTAAGAAAAATACCTGAAAATGAAAACCCCTAAAAATGTACGTGTGTGATGATGAGTTTACAGTGAGGACATCATTTCCATTGAGATTATAGTAATCGCTATAAGGTGGCCATTGTCCTCATTTCTACTGAGATTACACATAGTATCTGTGTAATCGCTATAAGGATGCGTGTTAAGTTGTTAACTTTATTCACACTTTCCTGTGAATGGCACATGTCTCAACTAATGTCTAGATATGTTGATGTATTTATAATTTTGAAATTGTTCTCACATGTGTTTTTGCATGATTGGTGGTTGAAAAGAAGCTTACTGCTGGGCTTACCTAAAATCCAGGTAGTTACCTCACATCATTATTCTTAAACACTATTAATCTAGGCAGTTGCGGTATTGATTTTTGGCAACCAACTATTACAAGTAATTGCTAATGAAATGCAATTGCTATGAATTATGTGTTGTGTATATAGCAGCTATAACCTCACAAAAATCACAACGAACAATCACATAAAAACCAACAGCACAGTCGCAAACACAGTTGCAAACACACACACCAAACACACACACAACAGACACACTCAGAGCAACAAACACACAGTAGACAACACACAACAGCACACACACAGACCTCATCCAAACACAAACACAGGAGCACACACACACGCAGACACATGCACAACAACACACACACACGCACACATCTGCACACAAACACACACACTGCACAACAGCACACAAACACACAAATCTGTGTGTGATTTGTGTTTGGGTTTTTGAATTTAGGTTAATTTGGGGTTTTGAATGTTTGTGTTTAATTTTGGTGTTTTTAATTTTACTTTTTAAAATTTTGGTGTTTATAATTTGAATGTCTTTTAATTGGGTGTTTAGTTTGGGTGTCTTTTAATTGGGTGTTAAATTGAATGTCTTTTTTTTTTTAGTTACGAATGTTAGATTGTTTGTGCATATGCTGAGTTGAGAATTATTGAGTGTTCATTTTGTACAGTAATTTATTTTCAAATTGGGTGTTGAATATAGTTTGTGAAATTTCAATTTGATTTTTTATTATCTTGATTTGATGAATATTACTTTGTATGAAATATCTTGATTTGATGAATGTTAATTAGTATGAAATAGGCCTCTAATATTATGATTTTTTTTTTTTGGTAATCAACATGCATATGACATGGTTTGATTATGATTATAAAATATGTAAGTTTTGTAGACAGGTTGATATTTTTGTGGTATCATATTTTCAAAGGATACTCTGTCGAAAAATTGAAAATTTCTTACGTTAATTTCAATTTCTCTCATTACATGGTTTTTGAATTAAGCAAATTTTTACAAGTATGGATATAGTTGTTTGTGTAAGAAGAATTGTGAAGTGGTAATTAGTACATGGTTGGATTTCAGTATGCATATGGCATTCATCAAATCAGATTAATATTATTTCTTTAATTTAACATTTAATTTTATTAAATTAAAATTTAATATATTAAATAGAATATTAAATTCCATTAATTTAACATTTAACCTTATTAAATTAATGTTAGCTATTTAATTTAACACCAAATGAACATTCAATTTCATTAAAGCAACATTTAAATTTATTCAATTAATATTAAATTTTATCAAATCAACACTGAATATAAATATCAAACTAACACCAAATTAATATTCAAATTTATCAAATTAAGACCAAATTTATTCAATTATTATAAATTTTATCAAATAGTGGTGGGGTAGCGACAATGGTGGTGATAGTGGTGGTAATGGTTATGGTCATGGAGCGGGTGGTGGGGTATTGGGAGTGGAGTTAGTAGGACAGTGGCGACGGTGGTAGGGTAACGACATCAATGGTGGTGGTTGTTGTGGTGGTGGGGTGACAGTGGTGGTGGTGGGATGACGACAACGATAGTAATGGTGGTGGTGATGTTGCAATGGCAGAGGTGGTTGTTGGGTGGCGATGGCAAAGGTGGTTATGGTTGTGGTGATGGTGGACCAGTTCTAAACCATACTTTATTTTTAAAAAATACTTATGAAAGGTTATAAGTTTTAAAAGTATTTTTAAAAAATTATCTCAAACACACCATTAAGGACATATTTTTCCTATTAAATTTGGGGTGTTAATATTAACAGTCATATTAATTATTTTATTTATCTTTTAAAATTTGAATTATATTGTATTTTATTATATAGATATTTAATATTTATATATGAAATGTGATGCGTGAAAAATGATCATGTAATATTGTGGAGGACAGACAATGATAGATGCGTTAGAAATTGATGAAATTTTGACATAGACATTGATTTATGTTTCTTTCTCCACAAACAGTTGAAGAAGACATCAATCCTACAATAATATATCACAACATATTAACATAACAAAATGAAAGAAAAAAATTAAAAAATGTGCATGAACAAATTCATAAAAAAAATTTGCATGAAAAAAATTTAATAATCTACTTGAAAAAAATTAAAAATATCTGCATGAATTGGTTGTTTTCCATTATTTTTGAAGTCATAGAATCTTTCTTGGGCAAGTCACACTAAATTCCGAATACATGTTATTATCCGATAACTATAGTTACCAGTTAAACCTGAAAAACACTAATTAGAGACGAACCTAAGATGTTCTTAAAACTCAACGCCACACTCCAGTACTATCAAAGTTCGTCAGTGACTAGTAAAACTCCATGCAATGAAACTAATCCACACACAACATACGGAATCAAGCATAACAGAGCATTTTCATATGAATACCTTTTTAAAAAAGAAAAAATGATTTCCAAAAACAAAAAAAATACAAACATAAATTTTATTCTGAAAAACAACCCAAGGACCAGGTCCCTTGTTTATTATCCATAGCTTGAGCAACACATTCAGACAAACACATCAAACCCAGTACATCATGATCCTACAACTGCTCAACACACATGGAAGATAAAGAAGACCTCAAACACACACAAAGATCCAGAAAACACACAGTACTCATAGCCTAGTTAACAGTGGTTGTACCAAGCCTCTCGTTCTACATGGCTTTAAGAACCATGGGAACAGGCAGCACAAAGACACGAACCCCAGTTAGATTCATGCACAGTGTTCACATGAAACCCCATTAGATTCACGCACAAACTCCTTAACTAGTGCTTAGGAAAGGAGATTTGATTTGCGTTTGGGCATTTCCAACAGTGAATGGTATAATCTCCTTCGCTACTGGGTTATAGGGGAGGAGATATAGACAGCCATGTTGGCTGCTCAAACAAAAAACATGACATTCTGGAGGTCCGGGTGCAGTTTGTAGAACCTCTCGTTAAGTGAAGCAGTAGACGAAGAAGATGATGATGCACGAGAAGATGAAGATGATACTGAAGGAGGAGACGTGAACTCCATCACCACCTCTTGAAACATACGTCCCCTGTACGCAACAAGGTCAGCATAATACACTGGAGGCACAAGCGAGACAGGCTTGGTGCATCGAGCATAGGTGAAGCACAAGTTATATATCAGCCTCTGTAACTGATCAGATGTAAAGTTGTGCTCATCCCAGAGGACATAGTAGTGCGTAGGCTTGCTTGTCCCAAGGCTTCCATAATGGCTGCAAAGATAAAAATCAAACTCGAAGGGATGAACAATTGTTGTATCCACAACTGTTCCTGGAGGCACATTTCTAGATGCACCTCCATCCCTCTCATTCTCAAGAAACAGGCGGGTCTGGTGTCGCTTCTGGGCAACAACAAGAGTAATAGTTGGGCAGTAATGCTCCTCATATATGGCCCTCTTCAGATCAAGTAACTCTTCATTGAGAACCATATCAAACTGGCCTTCACTTACACCATCACGGAAAACCACAATTTTCTTTGGCTTCATTTGGTTAAGCTGAGCATAAGTGTTGACTAGATCCAAACACATGGTCCCAAAATTAAGAATCTTCTCCTTCCGATGGTTTTGGGGGCAAACCCGAGCAGCATAGCGATTGGCAGCAGGCCAATTCATTGTCGCAACCACTGCTGCTATTGATGGGCATGTTGAATTCAATGCACCAGGGTGGTTGACATCAGCCCCAACAAACATAACAGGTTCTTCACCCTCAAATCGAGGGAGCCGTTCGATAAGTTCTACATTGCTACCCCCAAGCTTGGCATTAATCTTGAGAGCAAGGTTTGCAAGATACTGGTCCTTACCTTTGTTTGCTTCACTTGCCAAGCAACATTGAGTAACTATTCCAACCTGGGTCTCAGAAACCCATTTAAGATGCTTGTAGCCGGGATGCTTAGCAGTCATCACACAAACAACAATTTGCAATCGGCCCTTACATTTCCCACTAGCCTCCTTAACTACACCTTCAAGAAGTTCTTGAAGCCCATTGACACTAGAGAATTCACGCATGCTGGTTAAACGACACGCAACAGGCTCCTCCATGCGGATCCCTAGATTTCTGAATCTATTTATCAGATTGTAAATGAAATTCCCCACATTCAGTTTATAACGATCAAATGAACTGAAATCTACTAAGGCCCATCGCTCGACCGGTATGCCTTCAACCATAGATTTCCCAAGAAGATTCCAATGACACTTCTCCCTGTCAACTTTTACCATATTCAACTTGCCACTGGGAGTACCTAGCTTCAAATCAGGTGGCTGGATGACACGACTTAACACCCTTGTCATGTTGCTCTCAACTGCAATATCAAAATTTCGAGCGACCTCTCTGCAGAGACCAAATAAAGCAATTTACATATCCCATATCAATAGAAGCAACATACGTAACCAAACCAAAGATTCAGTATGAAGACAGTACTTGCAACCACACAATTCACACAGCAAATTTCATCAAATGGAAAACAAAGTTCAAGTACTTCCAAGCTGGTGGTAGTAATGCAATAAACTCAGGTTCCCATATATACTAATGGTCATGATAAGCTATAACAAGTGAGATTGGGAACCTAATCAATTATTGAATCAAGCATACTATTACGAGAAGGTCCTTAATAATGATATTCTAGTGACAGTCCTAAAAATAAAATGAATCTCCGTTCTGGGGGTACAGGTTCATCAGACAAATAGTCAATATTAACATCAATTTCTCCAACATTTTACATAATGCCATGTCATGAGAATAGTGGAGTATCAGTAATCTGAGCCACCAAGAAATTGCACAAGACAAAGTAGTATTTGATCCTCATGAAGTAGTTGAGGGCTTTGCGTTGTGGGCTATCGAGAAATACTTCAAAAATGGAGTTTGTTTTCCCAAAATGGCTCGACTTGAAGATTATAATTCCAAGTCAAATGCACCACAAAAATGTTTGAGAATCCAGGTTTAACACACTCCTGGTCGCATCCATAACTAGAAAAAACCAACCACCTGCCAACCACAAGGTTTTCCCAACCAAGCAGACTTTTCATGCAAACTCTGAGAATCATCATTTTAAGAAAGAATATTGAAAATATTACAATCTAAATCATGCCACCAAAAAATAAAAAAGCAGCTTTAAGTTAAATTATGCAACAAGAAAGTAGAGGCTCAAGAAACACTGAAATGCCTTTTATCATGCAACAAAAAGAAAGAGGCTTAGAGAAAAATTATGCAAAAATGTTTATAGAGAAACAACAGTTTATACACTACACAATATATTATACAAATAAATAGAGATATTAATTACAAATACATACCCACAAGGTCCATCCCCAGCTCGAACCATCTCACAGATGTTGTTCTTTCTTTCCTTCGGTGGAGCCAGTGATATATCCTTCAAGAACAGGCCAGTGTCTCTATCCAGCTGCTCCTTCGGGTATCTCTGCCCCTCAACCAAAACACAGAATTCCATAGGTACATAATTTATCTTATTACTTTTTCCTAGATTTAAACAGGGTATATCCTTATAGATAACTTCCTTGTTATATTTCTCCCTGAAATATTCGACAATGCCAATTTCCCTAGGTTGATGCTTGCCCTCTGGATCTTCAAGAATGAATGTAGTATCTCGTGCATTTTTATTGGTCAAGCCTGCAATAGTGTACTTCTGCTTGGTCACACGGTGAGTTACAGTAACTTTCAATCCTTTTAAGGTACTTGTCACTTCTCTTATTAACCTTTTTACATCATTTACTTCTCGAAAACCATTAACATGCTCCTTAAGGAAGTCCATGACTGGCAGTCGCTTGCGAAATGCCAACACAGAATAGTCTAAGCACAGGGCTAGACCCTGGGAGGTGGCCTTTAGACTCTGTTGAAAGCCTCTAAAAGCTGCCAGACCATAGTAAAGGTCATCTTCCACCCTGAATTCTCTAGAATAAAAGCTCCGACCAACAGAGATCCTATGCCTAGATGGATTCTCCTTCATTACCAAATCCATCCCTTGTAATATATCACGAGGGATATAAAGGAGATTTCCACTTAAGTACTCTTTTAGTTTGCAAAACTTGAGCTCATTTACTAATTTAATAGTAAATATATACGAGCGACTCTTCGTGTCATCACCATCAGACAATTCCACCTTGAAATGCCCAGTGGGCAGTGACACTGCACTGAAGATGTTCTTCTCACCATCATATGCAGTCATTTGCAAAGGAAATCGGGTGGGATCATCAGAGAATAGCTTGTCCCTGATCAAACGCAGATCAGATTTCGGAATTGGTTTTCTTGAAGAGCGACTACTGAGAGACATATCTGGTTTAATATCAACATCATAGTGCATTATGGTGCTCTCTGGATTGAATCTGACTGGAAAATGGTTGGCAAATAGCCTTACCGACCTGACAGCAACCGTGCCCCCTTTGTCAGGCCGTTTTATGGGCAGAACTCTGTTCTCTGTACTTTCCACAAAACTCAATCGAGACTTCTGTTCTGAAATTTCTAATAACTCGATATCTGGAATAACAGGATCCATATAAGACAAAAAAAAAAAAAACATACCAACAATTAGCCAAATTTTTGTGTTTCTATCAATAAATGATTTCTATAATCCAATTGATGAGATATTTAGTAATTGGGATTAGTGCAATTTGATCTGATCAAACACTAAATGCATGAGTTCTATCAAACAAAAAGAGCATATGGAGCAAAGGCAATCTGAGAACAACAAAAACCCACAATCAATGCTACAATTACACACGTAAATTGTAGTTAAGGCATACACCAGTGCTTTCATGTTACTGGAAGAGGTTGAAACCAACCAAAGTTTGAAAAAAATAAACAGGCGTTTTGATTTTGTTGTAATCACAGTTACTTAGGACAACTGAAATGTTCATAAACATCAAAAAGCTCCCCCAAGCACCCATATTATAACCACAACTATGGCTACAATGGTATATTTCAATTCCGAACATGCCACCAATTCAAAAGAGACCACTCATCTATAAAGCTATTACTTTTCCCATTATATCCTTCCACACCCTCAGAATCATTTCTATCACATATAGGTACAGTTGTCAACGTTGCAACACAAGTAGATTAATTTTTTAACTAGTCAAAAATCTTAAAATTCAATCAACTCCTTTGAATCCACGGACCAGTAATTCAAAAAATAGCAGAAAAGAAAAAGAAACAAACCTTTCTCACATGCCTATAGTCCTAAATAGATACATTATAACTATGAACAAAATTCATGCAAAGAAAAATTTAGGGTGCGTTTGTTTGACCTTTTTTGTTTTTATTTCAATTTTTATCAAAAAAACCAACAAAAACGTTTTTGGTATTTGTTTCTTTTTTTTGTTTTATCTAAGTTGTCTTGAAAACAAACTAAAAAAATGGGAACAAAAAATCAAGTTTCAGGAAACAACCCAAAACAGAAACACGCAGTGGCTGCCTCAAATTTTTTTAATGAGGTCTCCACTTCGATCCCTGTTAACAACAAAAGAGGGTTATTTTTTATGGAGGCATAAATAGTGAGCCTTTTTTGTCTTTCTCACACACCATCGTCTCACACACCATCGTCTCACACTCCTCACATCTCTCTCTGTTCTAGAAGAAGAAGAAGCCGAAGAACAAACGCACCCGAAGAAGACGATGAAGCTTTGCTCCTCGATGCTTTGAACCCAGAATATCGATCGATCTCTCTCCTGATAGAAAGAAGTCATCCTCGCTTCTTAGAATCTCCATCAATCTCTCTCTCTCTCGTTATGAAGGTAAGTGTAAATAATCTATATACATAGATTTGTATATATTTGCTTATATAGGCATTGAATAGGTCAAATCTGTGGATTTTAGTGTATTTGTATGTGAGTGTGTGTGAATGTGTATTGTGTGTAGATCCATCATAGACCTATCCCCACTTTTTTTTACATTTTCCCTTAAAAAATTTTTATTCTGTGTTCTCTATATTAAGTGTGTAAGCGTGTGTTTTGTATGCACGTGTGTTCTGTTTGTGTGCTATAGTGTGTCCGTATGTTCTATGTGCTGAGTGTGTGTTATGCGTGTGAGTGTGTGTTGAATATATTCGTTATATAGAACGGTTGTATGTTATATAGAATTGTGTGAATGGTTAGTGTTGAAATTCATGTTTTGGATATATTTGGAATTTGTTGTAGATGGAAATGGGTAATGAACAAATTACAAGTTGTGTGAGTGTTAGTTAAAGATATAACTTGTTTTTTGTGAAGTGGTTACCAAGCATGTTTCAGTTTTTATTTTCATAATTTAGTAAACACAAATGACTCCCAAGCATATTTTTTGTTTTTAATATTTACCACAAAATAAAACAAAAATTTTCTCTATTTTATTTTTTTTGAAAACTTGAAAACAAAAACGTTACCAAACGACCCTTTAATAACCATCCATATTAATTTAAATTAAGACCACTCAAGTCAAAAAAGTATGACATGAATTTTTCACGGCAACATGTTGTCTAAGCAACTAAGAGTACAAAAAACAAAAAAAAGAGAGAGAATTATTAACAATCCAAGCTACTTAATTAAAAAAAAGTGAAATGTTCCTAGCTAAGAAGCATGGACACTTCATTTTGGACAGAGTGTGGGTGTCGGACACAGCTGGGACACAGACTCACTTGAACACCTGTCGGACACGTTAGAATGAATGTTCGATTGTTTTTTTGTTAATTTTTTTTCAGGACACGTTGGGGACACACAACCGACAAACTCAGGACATGTTGGGAACATGCGGCTAATATGCTCAAGACACGTTAGGGGGAAGGACACGTTTTGAGATTTATTTTCAAATTTTTGAGAATTTTTCAGAAAATTTTATAATTAAGAGCTATTTTTATAATTTTAAAGGGATATGAGTTACAATCATAATGTAAAAAAAGTTATAATCATTACATTAAGGATAAAGTTGTGCAGCACAAATTTGTTAGTACAAATTTTGTATTCGAAGTAATGTGTCAAAATCTCATGCATTGAATTTTGGAAGAGTTAGTGGACCCCACTAATCCAACCACCTCCATTGATTTGGGAAACAAAATTTGGGCAACAATTTATATATAATAGCATTGCTCTTACATTAAACATAAGACATAAATATAACATAATTTTGAATACAAATATGAAATTACATACAAATGGATTTAAATTTTAAATACGAAAGTAATGTGAGCAAAATTGGGACTACAAAATTAGGGCTATTGAAAATTAATGAAGATTAGTGTTACGATGTGAAATATTTTTAAAAAAAAACGTTATAATAGTCATTGATTGTTGGATCATGGATGTTAATGTTGAATGTGTATCAATATATCTTATATTATATTTTTTATATAGTGATATCATAATGTAAATTTTTAGAATTAGAAAAATAATGGATTAAAAGATTATTATGATAATATTTTTAATTTCTCACATGATTATATATATATATATATATATATATATATATATATATATATATATATATATATATATGTTATTTAACTTATTGCCAACATGTCCGTATTTTATTTTTTTTTGAAAAATTTCATATCGACTTGTCGGTGTTGTGCCGTATCCGTGTCCCGTATCCATATTCGTGCTTTTTAGATTCCTAATTAACTCATCAAATACAACACCAAAATGTACTAAAAAAAAAAAATGTCTTCAATCGGGCTCTAACACGTGCAAAATTTAACCCAATCAACACCCTACCACAAAACATTTGCGATTCCCCCCTTTCCTTGGTCTAACTCTAAATATATCATGGTAACTAAATCTACGCAGCAACCAATTTAACTTTAACTTGGACTGTTAAAACTTCCCACGTGTGGAATGGATTTTAACATAAAACAAGCAACTTAGTGTACCAAGGAAAGAAGGAATCTTGATGACCAAAGCTGCTTAATCATAACAGCCAACAAGCCATCAATCACAATCACAATCACAAAAAAACACTCAATGCACATGTATAGAATTTACCCGGTCAAAGTTTATTTGGATATGGACAACAAATTTAATAGTGACACTCACACTCGAAATCTTTTTTACTTTCCATGTACTGCAATCATTTCCAGCATAATCAATACTTCCCCTAATATTCCAAAAACTGTGACGACTATCCCCAAAAACAATTGCAATGCTTGGATCGTCAGTGACACTTCTCCTCTTTATTTTTTAACAGGTACTAAATTTCATGCCAGAGAAAACAAATACCCTCTCCCAGTACTCCAACCAAGTAAATACATCTTAGATAGAACTAAAATTGTGATAAATAAACTTGAAACTTCATAGATCACATCATCCTTGCACAAATATCATCAAAATACACATGGAAACATACTGCAATTTCAAAAACACATAGACAACACACAATATCTTCAATAATAACTTCAAAAAGTCACACAAACAGATCAACAAAACTTATATAAAAAACTGAACAGAAAATCAATCATCTCGTAAAGATGAATTAACTCAGTCAATCAACACAGCCCGTTGTTACAACAATCTTGTATCTGTATCATACCATAACACCATGATACCCAATATTTATACCTCCCAACCAACCACACTAGCTCTTCAGAACAAACAGAGTAAATCACACAGAAGCGCTTAAATACACACTGACAAAAAATGTAAACTAAGATTAAGGGTAAGAGATCTACCAGGAAGAGTTTGTTCAGGAACCTTATCAGAGAGAGACCGATCTTGAGACTGAGATTGAGATTGAGATTGACCAGGCACAAAAGTGGGAGTCGAAGGCCTCACACTCGAGACTCCTCTTCCTCTACCTGCTGCTCCACCATACCCACCTCTGCCATATCCTTCAGTTGACTCCTCCATCGTGGGCCCCACACCGTGAACATTCCCTTGTGGTGGGGCTGGTGGCCTGTAAGCTCCACCACCCAGATCTGTGTGACTTGGCCTAATACCCCACTGTTCCCCACCAGTCTGGGTGGGACCCCTACCCCAACCTCTTCCTCTTCCACCACCATGATACTGTCCCTCCTGCTGATACTGTTGATCTGGATAATTCCCAACCCTACCGCCGCCGCCACGATTACGACCACCACCACGATTACGACCACCACCACCACGATCACCACCACCTTGATACTGATCCTGCTGCTGGTACTGTGGATGTGGGTAATTCCCACCTCTGCCACCACTATTACGACCACCACCGCGATCACCACGGCCGCGAGCACCACCACGGCCACGGTTGTAGTTCTCTCTCTCCATTGAATCAGCAAAGAGCCACACCACACTTACCCCCCCTCCACAACAAAACTGACGACTTCCGGAGTGGCTTTGGTTTTTGGTGCTTTGTTTTCATATAGAGAGTGGGTGGTGTTAAATGACGGAAATGAACAGACTTCAAGACTAAGACTCGAACAGTGATTAGGTCAAATGATTCGGTTGAAGGGTAAAGAAGACAATGCAACAGAAGCAGGGAAGAGATCGGTTTGAGGAGGGGAAGAATCCGGGGTGTTGCCCTATGTAAGGGTTAGGAAAGGTAAAGTAACGGGAAGGTTTTTTTATATCTAGTACGTGAACAACACTTTTGTATCTTGAAAACAAAATTATTAAAAATTTTAATTATATTTTAAAAAATTACATGTGAAATCAGATTTAAAAAATAAGAATGTGGTCTAAAATTATATTTTTAATTCGTTTGATTAAATAGAGCATATTGATATATTTGTATGTTATTAAGGATATATATAATAATGTAATTTTAGTTTTTTAAATAAAGTAATTTTTTTTTTAAAAAAAAAGTAGATTCAAAATGTTATTGGTGCCATTTAATAAGCTACTTCCCGGAAAGTGAGAGGAAGAGCGAGAGAGAGAGAGAGGTGGTGGCTGTTAACGTCATAACGTGGATTTGGTGTGGGGTTGAGAGTAATGGTGGGGGGGAGGGGGAAAGGGGGTCAATGCAGTTATGTACGGATGGATATCTTTTGCTTTTTCGGGGTTGGTGAGGGATTCCTTGTCCATTGCGTTCCTTTTTGACCATGTAAGATTAGGAACCGATCGTAGTCTAATAGTATATTTTTTGGACTTCTTTCGATTGTTCATGTAGATTTTTTATTTTGATTCAAAATAAAATTGTCCATGTAGACAAGGATGTTAAATGGATGATATTTGTGTGGTGCTGTAATTTCAAACTATATAATTTGTATCATGTACTTTGACTTATAAATTCTGGTAATATTTTGTACAAATTATTTTTATGTCGGATCAAAAAAGTCAAATTTAGGGTGGGTTTCCGAATTTAACATACGAAACCTACTAAGGCTAAATCTAAGTCTATTAGCATCAATTCCATTTCAATGGTTACAAAAGTCGTGTGCAAAATTATCAAAACCTAATATAAACATTAAGAAAGTAACCATAATATATTTAACTAACATAATATACATAATTAGTAATACTCACATGTCTAGACACACTATGCAATACTCAAAAATATTGCGCATTGATTGAGAATTTCTTATATTTAAATAATAATTTAATTTTTTAAAAATTATGCAGTTTAAAGAGAAAATAAGAGAGACCATTACGGATTAACCGGGTTTGTTTGAAAAGTGTAATGGTTGAATTGTTTTTAACATTACAGATCATACATAGAAGATGATGTTTCT